CCATTCCACTAAGATTCATACATACACTGACGTGACTGGGCATGCAGTACAATCAACAAAAAATCCACCACTGGTTATTGCACATTTATTGAAGGCAACATTGTCACTTGGAAGAGTAAGAAACAACAAGTCATTGCCTACTCTAGTGCTGAAGCTAAATATCGAGCAATGGCTGCCACTGCATGTGAATTGATTTGGTTTAAAAGTTTCTTGTTTGATCTAGGGTTCTCAAGTACAACTCTATGTCTGTCATGTGTGATAATCACGCAAGCCATGCACATTGATGCAAACCCAGTTTTTCATGAAATGACGAAGCATATTGAAGTTGACTGTCACTTCATCAGGGCTCAAGTTCAGTCATAACTCATCCAAACGGTCTTCACTCGCAGTTATGATCAATTAGCGAACGTGTTCACTAAGGCACTTTCGTCTGAACATTTTCAATGTCTTCTAGGCAAGCTTGGATTGACTATGCTCCTCGATCTAGCTTGAGGGGGAGTATTGAGAGTTACCAACCCTAGACAGATTATGCAATTCCAGAAATCATGGGTGCAGCATGGCTACACGGCACCTTCTGTGTTTCCTGACAGATTATGTGTAAATCTCTTTTTAGTCTTGTAGTTAGTTTCCTCTAATTAAGGAGTATGGCTGATATCTAGTATTTGGTGTAATCTTCTTTAATTAAGGAGTATAGCTGGTCTCTAGGGTTTAGACTAATGACCGTTGGATGTAACCGGTCCTTCTTTTCTTTTATATATGTATCCTTGTACATTCACATTTAAGAAATACAAGAAAACTTAAACCAAAACTGCAATAGATGTAGGAAAGAAAAAAAAAGAATCAATCATGCAATTGAAAAATTGTCATAATACATGGTGTCCATATTAGCTGATCTATGTCTCAACGCATGATATGATCCAACATAGAACCTGACAGGACATCCAAAATCAATATTTAGTATTTGCTCTTTAAGTAATTGATTCACAACTTGTTGCTACAAAACCCATGACAAGAATGAGAAGAATAGAAATGTAGAAATTAAATACCTCCAGTCAGTGGCGAAGCCACGTAAGGGTGGGGAGTGGCAGCCGCCACTCCTCTTGCCGGAAAACAGGACTGGAACTCTTGGTCAGCCCCTCCCCTCACCGGAAAACCCACTAGTTTAGTGGTTCAGCTCTCTACAGTCCGGTGATGTCTGGGTTCTGCTGCGCGTAGCAGCAGACTGCATTTCCTTTTTTTTCAAAACATTCAGCCACTCTCCACTCCTCCAGCAACTAAGCTGCTGACTTCAGCCTTCTAAGGTAAATTTTTTTAATCCCTAAATTTACAATCCTGACCCTAATTAATTATTTAATACGAATTTTGTTTGATTGGTATAGAATTTTATGGTAATGCACTAATATGGTTATTGGTTATTGAATATTGACCTGATTCTATGCTTATATGAAATTAAAATTATTTTTTAGGGTGAAAATTAAAATTTGAATTCTTGATTATTGTTTAATTAATTGAATTATTACATAATGTATACAATTATTCATATGATTAGTTGAATTGATATTTATTTATTGAATAATTTGTATGCTTATTGGTATTGCTTAATTGAATTGTTGGTTGGATTAATTATTATGCATATTAGTATAGTCTACTTCTTTGTATGACATGTTTGAGTCTAGTGAATAATTTTGCATCTTTTGAAAAAGCAAAAATTATTCGTTTAGCCCAACTTTATCCCCAAGATTTTGATTGTATGGACCTCATGAATCTTCTAATTCAACTTGACAATTACATTCACAATATGAAGATGCATAGTGAGTTTTCATCATTAAGAGGAATTGTTGATCTTGCAAAGGAGTTGGTGAAGACCGGGAGGTGTGCAAGCTATATGTTAGTGTATAAGCTTCTTACATTGGCTTTAGTGTTACCGGTTGCAACCGCTTCGGTGGAGAGAACTTTTTCTGCTATGAAGATTGTGAAAACGCCATTACGCACCAAAATGGGAGATCAATGGTTGAGTGATAGCATGCTTGTTTATATTGAGAGAGATGTATTTTCTTTTATTGATAATAAGCCTATTATGCGACGTTTTCATGATATGAAACCTCGCCGGCAACAATTGTAATTTGTTCGTATGGTAAATTATGGATGACATTATTATATAAAAGGATTTGATTGTTGCTATTTTTTTGAACCTTGCAATCTTTTAACTTTGCCTCTCTCCCTGTCAATTTCTGGCTTCGCCACTAATACGAAGTCCAATCAATCTGCAAGATCATCTATCTTCTTTAATTCCCTGAAATTGGTTTTAATCAGCGGAAACTCAGTGGCCAGTTAAGAAGAGTTCAAGAGTGAACAAGACCATCTCTCCTCTCCACAAGCGAAATGTTTTGTCAGTTGTAGAAGACCATTATCCTTATGGCCCTCAGTTACTAGTACACCCCATGACACTTTAATAGTATTAAAGGAGTTACTACTTTCACACTAGGATAACAGACAAAGGTAACATTCCGTCAATATCATAGCACAACACAGAAAACCACAAAGCAAAAACAACATACAAAATGAATAATATGGCTTGTTATTATTACATGATTGTGAGGTTCAAGTAAAGAATGGTAAAATTTGTATTCATGTAATTACTAAATTTCTATAATTTTTATTTCTATTCAATTCTGATTAGAGAATTAGAATGGTAATTTTTTGGAGTTTTAGTTGACAACCAGGTTCTATTAATATGTAGTTTATATTTGAACATTTAGTAAAATAGGAAAAAAAATCAAAGTGACCAATTAATAATAATAGAAGGTATTCCACGACACTTTTATAACAAATTAATTTTTCTCTTCGTGTAATCTATTTGAGGCTGTAGCATATTTTCAGCTTTCATGTCAAATAGTACACTAAAATAGTGTCGATAAACCAAACAAACATGTGCATAGGAGTTGAAATTCAAATTAAAATTCCAAATGTTTGTTCACTTTCCAATAAATTAACCCCTTGAGTTGACGAATTTAATTTGTAAAGCCGGCCAATTGGCTCATTACTTCTTGAGAAATGTTAAGAAAACTCTCTTAAAAGTGAGATTTTCCATTGACTCTTTGCCACCGCTTGTTTTTCACACAATGTATTATTATGTTAGCACGAGAATTAACATTAAACTGTCAGATGACAGAGACTCCATGAAGAGTCCCACTTTAAGCGAATCTCCTTAGAATTTCGTATTTTTCTTTATTTTGACCTAGCAGAATAGAAATTGAATGTGTGGAGGTGGGAGTGGAGAAACATAGTAATAAACCACAAATTGTCCAACTTTTACTAATTGGCAATTATTTGATTGAATGGTTATCATTATTCTACTAATCAAATTGCTCCACCAAAATCTTTTTATTATGGTTACAAAAATTGTCACATTCTGGCCCGGGTCCCCACCACATTCCGGGCCCTACTCTACCGTCGCACGATATTGTTCGCTTTGGACCCCTAGCACACCCTCACGGTTTTCTTTCTGGGAACTCACACGAGAACTTCCTAGTGGGTCACCCATCCTGAAATTGCTCTCGTGCGAACTCGCTTAACTTCGGAGTTCCAATGGAACCTGAAGCCAATAAGTTCCCAAAAGGCCTCGTGCTAGGTAGAGATGGGAATATACATATAAAGCTTACAGGATCCACTCCCCTGGGCACTATGGGATGTTACAATCCACCACCCTTAGGGACCCGACATCCTTGCTGGCACACTTCCGGCCAGGGATTGGCTATGATATCAAATTGTCACATCCCAACCCAATCCCCAATCACATCCCTGGGCTCGACTCCACCATAGCACGATATTGTCCACTTTGAGCCCCTACCACATCTTCGCGGTTTTGTTCCTGGGAACTCACACGAGAACTTCCCAGTGGGTCACCCATCATGAGATTGCTCTCGTGTGAACTTACTTAACTTCGGAGTTCCGATGGAACCCGTAGCCAGTAAGTTCCCAAAAGGCCTCGTGCTAGGTAGAGATGAGAATATACATATAAGGCTTACAGGATCCACTCCCCTAGGCAATTTGGGATGTTACAAAAATTCTACGGTCACAATTTCCGTAGATCATAAGATCTAAAAGAATGGAATTGTTATGCTAAAATACACAAATAGTTTAATTTGAATTGTAAACATAGGAGGTTTCCAACTGTGTTTCAAAGTATTAGATACTCAAGGTCTTTTAATCGTTGGTTGTTCAGTTAAAAACAAACAATTAAGATCTGATGATTAAAAATCTAAAATATGCTTATATTCTGGAGCACTATAAAATTTTTGGTAAATATCAATGGTAGTGTTGTATTTTTGTAACTCTACCCCGTCAACTAAAACCCTTCTAATTCACTCCTCAACCTCTAAATTCTACCTTTATTTGAAAATAATAAAATAAAATAAAATAAACGACTTCCCTAAAAATTCCCCAAATTTAAAGCCGTTTCTGTAAACATACAACTAAAATTATTATTCTTGAAAGTTACGGGTCGTTTGTTACACTTTATCTGAGGGGCTTCTAATTATTGTAGCAAAAAAAGTATATCTTTGGCCAGATTTTTTTTTAATGAAAATATGAAAATAAAATTGAAGAAGTGCATTTTGTATCTCGGATAGAGTTGTCCTAAATATTTGGGGTTGTCGTTTTATTTTCTTTTATTTTTTGCAAGGAAGAAGTTTCCTCACACTCTTTTTTTCTTATGTTCATTTTAGTTGAACAAGTCAAATAAAAATCAAGGGACGGAACTAAAAACGAAAAAAAATTGTGTAAAAGCCATTTCTTTTGTGTAAAAGTGGGGTCAACGGACAACCTCAATTCATAATTTTATTACATAGCACATCATCTCAATAGCCCTGTTGTATAATTAATTCCTACATTATACCTCTACTAAAGTAATTAGACTATTGGTAATGATCAATTAATCATCAAAACAATAATCCAATTTCAAGTGCTGGTAGTAATTCATGCATGCACCTCCTAAATTTCTAATAGGGTTTCTCTCCAGCCCAATTCCCAGGTGGATCATAGTTGCATATGATGAGCTCCCCTGCTCCATTGCTACAAACCTCTCGTGCACAACCCAGACGCTTTGTGTCCTTCCACACCATTTGCGTGTAATGCCCACACATCTGCCCGGGTTTGCAACTATTGGTCTTGTAATCATAGAACAACTTCTCATGTGACCACGAATTCACCGCGAACCTCGCTCCCCATGGTTGTTTCCCGCCGCCCCAGAAGATGTTCTCCCCATAAAGGCCCATCGAGTGTACCATCCTGCAGTCTATGGTCGCTCTCGTTTTTGTGTAAACCCTAGCAACCGCTGCTAGTTTTTCGTCCCACTGCAAGGGCGGTAGGCCAATTTTCCGTCGTACATTGTTGTGAACCTTTAAAAATTCTTGAGGGTTTGCTGTCGGAGCACGGAGTATTGGATGATGACGAGCTTTTGTCGCCTCAAGATATATGCTAATGCATAGGAAAGTAAATAAAATTGTTACTCTGCTTTCCATTGTTGTTACTGTTCTTTCAAATTGTAGGTACTCTATGCCTCGACTTGTAAGTTGTATAAATAAGCTGATCAAAAGCTTCTCAAGGTCCTTTGAAATAACAAAAAACTGTTAAGTTGTTTTTCTGACTAGTTCTTTCATTGGTTCCCTATATTATATTGGAAAGGTTTTAGCTAATTAGTTTATTAACAATATTAGTGCGTTATAACTTATAACTAATTAACATAATTCCATGTTGTCAATTTTAGTCAGTGGACTGTTTGAACTTTGAAGGTCATTTTATTTTGAATTTTCATATTTATCTCATCCACTTGTAAATAATGTATCTTTAACGTATAAAATTATAATTGAAAGCCTTTCAATTTCTTAATTTTCTTTTGAATATCATATGTGCAAAAAATCATTTGAAATCAGAGAATTTAGGGTTTAGGGTTAAAGTAATTTCGCTGCTGCATATTCATGAAAAATCGTTCATTTATTTAATTAATTTGGGTGACAAAACCATTTCCTACTCGAATGAGTTTTTTTAAGCATGGCCTTCAAAAGAAATTGATTATAAAATCTATATCTTAAAGATACAATATTCACAACGAGTGAAGTATGTTCACGGAAGAATAAGTAAGCACAGAGGAATGTAAGTATTTTATTTTATTTTATGATTGCATGGGATGCAAGTATTATCCGAAAAATATATTGAAGACACGAAGAATGAGAAGAAAATATGGTGGAGCGGGGGTGGGCGGAGCCATGTTTTGGGCTCCTTTGGGATGTAGCCCATGGAGGTATTTAGAGAAGAAAGTAAATAAAATATGTGTTGTTGTTTGAACTGTCTATTTTTAAGATCTTACATGTTGTGTATTTACAACATTGTTATTGCAAGAAATTTTATCTCCCTGAACATGATCAAACGAAACCCGTTCAAGGACATTGAATTGGCGGTGCTACATGTCAAAATCTACTTTTCGTTCTTGGTAGAATTTTTCTATCCAGCCTTCTATCAGCTTAATTTCAGTTTCCCTTTGCTCAATAAACCACTTAGGATCTTCTTTTGTTGGAAAACGCAGATCTAAGTGATGTGCACCTGAGAAACGAAAAGCAAAAGAATTTTACTTTTAAGAGAAGAATACTGCAAGCTGCTCTAAGCCCCTAACGGGGCGCCATATTGCAAGAACAGTTGAGGCTTCAAGCAGTCTCTTGTTTTTCTGAGTGCTCAGATGACAACTATTAAAAAAGACGTCTGACCACTTGAGAAGGCAAGTGTTCAGCGCATGGTTTGGCTTTGTAAGGCCAACCGTCAAGTAGAGAAGATGCCTTCTTCAGCAACAAGAGCGACGACAGTTTCAGATACATTCTGCAGGACACTGTAATAGATATCATTCACAGCCATTAGAACTCAAATAATTAATGTTCGACAGCTCCAATTGCCAAACCATATTTATAAAAAAAGAAAAAAAAAAGAAAAAAAAAAAAAAGACAATAGTTACCTGCCACCACTCCAAGGATCCAATAAGCCTTTTTAAAAAATGATGGCGATTCCAAACGCTTTCAAGGTGGCCATAATACACTTCAATTGAATTGCCAAGAGTATCGGTATCAAACTATAAACGTTTTCAAGGAAAAGACAATCGCCTATTTAAGAAGCTAAGGAACATGCAATCATTCACATTCTCCAGACAGCAGTGTCAACCATATAGATTAAAGAATGGTTTGAAAGATAAAATTATAGGAAGTAGCTGCTTCAAATTTCTAGGGTTTAGAGATTTTCAAAAATCTGGGCAGTTTCCCGAATGGGCTTTTTTCTTATTTGCCCGAATTGGGTGTTTTTTTAATTATTTTTTTGTAATTTTCCTGAATGGCCTTTCTTCCCAGTTATCCGAATGGGCTTTTTTCTTGTTTGCCGATGGGCTTTTTCCTATTTGACCGACTAGGTTTTTTCCTATTTGCCCTAATGGCCTTTAATTGCCCGATGGGATTGCTTTTGTCGGCCGATAGGATTGTTGTCCTGCCCGATGAGACTATTTAGTCCGAACTGTAATAAAAAAAGATTATATGTTTTATTTCTACCTTTCTTTCCTTATATGCATTTTGTCTTTCTTTTCCTTAAAAATTGACATTTTAGCAATTGATATTTGTATTTTACCATTTAAACCGATTTCCTAATATCTTTGTGTATGGGAGAATTCATCTTGAAATACTGTTACCCAAAAACATTACCCGGCTCTTCGTTTCCCTCTTTATTTCCATGCCGTCTATACAATGAAGGTCGAACGAGACAAAAGCTAACATTCACATAATTCATTTTAGCAATTGATATTTGTATTTTACCATTTAAACCAATTTTCATAATACCTTTGTGTATCAGAGAATTCATTTTGAAATGCCGTTACCCAAAAACATTACCCGACTCTTCGTTTCCCTCCTTATTTCCACGCCGTCTGTACAATGAAGGTCGAACAAGACAAAGGCTAACATTCCCAGAGATCCATTGATTCCTCTAAGAAAACTCAAACCCTAAATCACTCCTTACTCACATAGAGACATCTTCAACATCTAAAGCAAATCTGCACAAACTCTATAATCTCAGGCCTTTTCTACAACCTATTCACCCTCTTTTAAATATTAATAGGGCCAGCCACCTAGTTAAGGAGGATACTAGTCCCTTCTCCTCCTCTAGGCTCATCGGTGTTTTAAAAAATGCACCTTAAGACGCCCCCTATGCGACTTCCAAGGCAGGGCGATGATGAAAATGCCTCGGCCTAGCAAGAGTAGTCTTAAACTCGCCTAGACATGGTCGAGGCGCATCTAAGCACCTGAGGCGTTCAACTGCGCGTGTCCTTTTTTTTTATCTTTCTAAGTTGCTGAAATTTGACCGAAATCTTTTTAGTTGCAAGGCTAGTTTCATAGCAAAAAAGATGAAGAAGACAATGTTGAAGCGAGTAGTTTTTTTTTTTTTTTTTTTGCTAAGTTTTCGTTTTCTTTGTAGTTTTTTTTTCCTCTTTAAACTGACTCCACTTTTGTAGACATTTATTCCCCCACCATCTTCCTTTCTAATAACTTTTTGTTTTAATATTTTTTTTGCTCATAGACAAGATAGATCTCAAAAGATAAGTATAACTGGCTAGCAGGAAAAAAAAAAAAGATAAGCATCTTTGTGTTTTTATTATTTTTTTGTAATATTATATTATTCATTTCTTAAAAAAAAAAATTCTATATGTTGTAGGTCTATTTGACTGAACTGTATAAAAGACAGAAAGGGAGAGGGGCCAGAGCAACAAAGAGAGAAAAGAGATATGTAATTCTGAGGTGTGTGTGTGTATCATCCCTTTATGCCTTTATTTATGGTAGTAAGATAGGTAGAATTCTTAACCTAATAGGATTACATCTCTAATAGGAATTAAACTACTAAAAGGAATATACAAGATACTCCTAGATATACTAGGATTTACACAATCATAGTCCTAATACAATAGGATTGCAACACTCCCCCTTGAGTGTGTAAATACTCAAACAAAACGTTGCGTCAGATCTTTAGCAAATAAGGTAGAACAGTTGATGAAGTCGTCGGCACGATGGGTGAATGCAATTCTCAGATATAAGAAAGTAAGTATGCATTGGTGGTAAAACTCACAAAACCTCGCTATGGTAAAACCCAAGGCACAGGGAAAACCCATAGACTAAGGAGAAAAGTGAAAAGTATGCATAATGTCTAAAACAAATGTCAAACAGGACGAAAGTAGTGAACTCAACGAAGTATAATCATCCCAGGATGGGTGCTCCATCAAAACCTCATTAATAGCAAAAACCCAGTGGGAAAAATGCTCACAATTGTAGGAAAAAATATACATTAAGATCAAGTGAGTATGCTTCAGGATACTTCCCATGAGTTAGGCATAACTTCCAAATAAGAGGACTACAAGCTATTCAACTTAGATAATTTACGCATACCGATTCCTTGGACGAGCTTTTGAAAAGTAGACTTAGGCAATGACATGGTAAAGAGATCGACCAGGTTGTCCTCAAAATGGATTTGCTTGATTTTAATGTTCTCATGTTGTTGTTACTGGTAAGAATAAAAGAACTTTAGAGCTATGTGCTTGATGTTATCTCCCTTGATGTATCCCTTCTTTAACTGCTCAATACATGCTGCATTGTCTTCAAAGATCATTATGCGAAGGTCAACGACGGAAGTAAGACCACTAGTGCTTCAAATATGTTCTATGACTGCTCTCAACCAAAAGCACTCTTGCAAGGCTTCATGCAGGGTGAGAATCTCATCATGGTTCAAAAAAGTCGCAACTAGCATTTACTTGGTAGACCTTCAAGATATATTGGTGTCTCCAACGGTAAATACATAACCCATTTGAGAACATGCCCTATGTGGGTCAAACAGATAACCAGCATCTGTGGAACCAACGAGGTGGGAATCAACCTGGGGACTGAGGGGGCGACGACTCTTCTTAAGGATTCGTGGGTGTAGAACAAGCGCAAATCCGTCGTACTCTTGAGGTAGTGAAAAATATCTTTAACACCATTCCAATGTCTGCATGTAGGCACATTGATGTATCTAGCCAAAAGATTAACAGAGAATGAGATGTTTGGTCTAGTGCATTGAGCCAAGTACAATAAAGCATCAATTGCACTTAGGTATGGAACTTCAGGCTCCAAAATCTCTTCCTCATTCTCCTTGGGACGGAAGGGGACTTGTTTAGCATCTAGAGTCCGAGCGACCATAGGAGTACTCGAAGGCTTCACTTTATCCTCATTAAAACATCGCAACACCTTATGGGTATAGTTTGATTAATGTACTAAGATTCCATCTGAACAATGCTCGATCTCCAGGCCAAGACAATATCAAGTTTTCCCAAGATCTTTCATCTCAAATTCTGATTTCAAGTGAACGGCAATTTCCTCAAGCTCTGTGAAAGTTTCGATGAGGTTCATGTCGTCGACATAAATTGCAGTGATCGCAAATCTAGAATGTGACTTCTTAATGAACATGCTTAGGCATAGTTCGTTATTCACATAACCCTGACTTGTCAAATAGTCACTCAGACAGTTATACCACATCCACCCAAATTGTTTCAATCCATAGAGTGATTTCCTCAATCTAATAAAGAGAGTGTTCTATGGTCTAGAACTATTTGAGACGGTCAATAGAAGTTCTTCTAGAACTTTCATTTATATTTTTGTATCTAGATCTCCATAGAGATACGCAGTTACCATGTCCATAAGCTTCAGATTTTCAAAAACTACCAAACTGATAAGGTAGCGGAACATTATGATGTCTATTACGGGGGAATACGTCTCCTCATAGTCAATCCTAGGGCATTAAGAGAAGCCTCGCGCTACGAGGCGTGCTTTGTATCGTACTATTTCATTCTTCTCATTAGGCTTCCTCATGAAAATCCATTTGTAGCGCATGATCTTCACATGTGGTGGAGTAGGAGCTAAATGCCCAAACACCTTACGTTTTGCAAGCGAATTGAGTTTGACCTTGATTGCTTGTTTCCAGTTTGACCAACCTATTTTACGTCGACATTCATCAACGGAACGTGGTTCAATGTCATCGTTAAGCATGATGTTTGAAGCAACAGTATGCACAAATGCATCATCGACAATCATCTTCTTCCGATTCTAAACCTCATCTCATACTGCGTAACGGACCGAAATCTCACAATTCTTGGGAGACTATATGTCTCATTTAAAACATCACCGTAATCTAGAATAACCTCATGAGTTGGAACAAATGAGTAAGCAATGGTTGGATTCATACTAGGGACACTAATTTATGCCGTTTTCCTCTTTTGGGATTAGAAATCCTTTGAACCAGGAGGCCTGCCACGCTTCAGGGTAGGAGCAGGTGATTGGCTAGCTGCCAGTGTACCTTGTTGTGTGGGAGGTGCAATTACCTCACCCTCAGGAACGATCCAGCCTTCTAAGGCAGTGTTACGGTGTATGTTAAGTATGTCTATCCTTCCAGGTGCATTTGCAGCTGGTATATGTGATCGCGTCACCTTTGCTAGATTAGTAGAAGCATCTGACATGCTTCGAGCGATGCTCTGAAGATCTAAAATACATCGCACTTCAGTTTCAAATTAAGGGGTACGAAGATCTAAATGAGACATAGTGGGAGTAATCCATGACAAGTCGCGGTGTTCTACAGGAATGTTAGTCATCTTATCTCCCCCTAACGACAGGAAGACTATCTCATCAAAGTGATAATCCACAAAACATGCGGTAAAGAGATCTTTTGTTAAGGGCTCTAAGTAGCGAATAATTGATGGTGAATCATAATAAACATAGATTCCCATTTTTCTTTGAGGACCCATTTTGGTATGTAGTAGTGCTATTGGCACATAGATTACGCACCTAAACACACGTAAATGC